AGAATGTATGGACAGATCTTATCTGGCACGCTTCACACGGCTAGTGTACAGGTTGGCCATTTTGATTGCACTACTGGCGCCATGGCGCACACATATATACAGAGGAAGAAAAGAAATGAGAGTCCTCCTGCTCGGTAGAGCGCTCAATGTTCATTCGAATAGAGCTATCTTACACACGGCACAGAGCACCACGCATCATTCGTTGTAACTAATAATTTCATGCCCATAGGCAATAATCAAACAACTAAGGGTGCGTTCTTATATTCTCTAGCTTCTAGAAGAAGAAAAGAGAAGTCGAAGAAACTGGAATTACTCAAGAACGGGTCTCGAAGAATTCGGAGTTATTTTGCACATGTCAAGCAAAATGAAGCGTCAAAGGGGCCGCGATCTTCGGAGTGATGAATGTATGTGCGTATGCGAAAAGGGAAATGCGTACACTCATGATGAACACGTGGCTTTTAGTCGTAGTTCGCATGCGCTGATCCCAAACCGCGGGAATCTCCAAGTTTCAACCACCTCTGAAGCTTGGAGAGCTTGGAGAGCTTTGGAGAGCCTCCTAAAAGTCGGAGAGGATATAAGAACAGCTCTCGAACTTTTCGGAGAGTCTCGAACTTTTCCGAGAGGATTTAAGAACGCACCCTAAATTACAACGAAAGATGTGTGGTGCTCTGTGCTGTGTGTACAGAGGAAGAAAAGAAAAAGAAAAAACAGAAAAACTTACTGCTGGATCATATTTGGCGCCTTTTGGCCGACTCGTGTACGGATTGTTCCAGAAGGAGAAGACCGGTCCAAAGCCGGGCATTCCCGTCAGGCCATTGTCCGTCAGGTACTGGAAACTCTGGAAGTGGTCGTCGCCGGTGATGCGATGCGGACGCATGGGACTGGCCACGTGAATCTGAACCTGAGACGCCAAGTCTTCAGGGTCGCTGGACGCGGCACGTTTGGCTCGCCACTCGGCGCGACGCAGCTCCTCTCGATCTGCACGGTAAACGCGGCACAACAGGACACACAGTTGCCACGATCGACCTCTGCAATGCTGCGCGTACATGTACTGGAAAACGCGTAACTATTGCGACGTAAAAATGTTCGCGAATTTTGCGAGAGGCCCCGAATCGCAAACTTTGAACAACGCAAACTCGCGCCATGTAAAGTTCAGTGCAAGGACTGACTCGGCCGTGTAGAACAACTCGCAAACATTACACAGCGCAAACCAGTCTCAATTTGTAAAACGCAAACATTTATTGTCGCAAACGTTACCCGTTTTACAGTATGCGCATGACACCGTACTGCCAGGGTGCCAATTCCGGATGAAGAGACTCCAATCTAGGCTACTCCAGTCCCAGGTCTCAAGCAAGACCGGTAGCTGCGAGGAGATAACACAGCATTATGAGTCATCACAGGATTGACAGTCAGACCTGACATACTGCATTTCCCCGGCTGTAAGGCGCACTAGATTATAAGTCACATTGAGGTTTTAACCACATTTTTGCAATGCATGCATATAAGTAGGATGTCACTCTCGATTGTAAGTCGCATCCCCTTCTTCGCTCTTGAAGTTGAGTGTAAAAAGGTGAGACTTATATTAGAGGAAATACGGCACTGTTGATGTTGGATTCATTTTTAGTTTGTTACCTGAATAGCACATTGTCAAAAGAGAAAACATGATAACTGAGGGTCTCCAGAAAGGGAGAGAGAGAGGAGGGGTGGGGGGGGGGGGAGAATTTCAAGTACTCACCGGCCTCCGCTTCAAACTGCTGCTCAAGATGGCCGTCGCTCTGCAGACCGCCCGTAGCCTGCGCGTAACCCGGGCAACCCTCGTCCGCCTCCTGCGTTCTGGAATAGCATAGCCCGGACATGTGCTGAGGGTCGCCGTTCGGGAATCGCGCGCGGATCTGCCGTACGCCGTTGACGAACAGGCTGGTGAAGTGGCTGCCCTCGGGCACTTTGGCCATGTAGACATTGTCGCCGAAGCTTGCCGCTTTCTGCCAGTCCAGTGTCAGTGCCTCTCCGCCGCTCAGTATCACCTGTGCGGGTAAGAGGGGAGGACAACGAATGATTATGATTGTGCGCATTGTGTCGCATCATCAATAAACAATATGAGGCTGAATGACGCATTTTTAATCCCCCCCCCCCCCCCCCCCCAGGGTGTTGGGAATAGAGCCAGCAGGAAAACAGGCAGAATTTGGTTCTTTTCTAGTAGGTCCCGTGCATGTTTGGTACTCTATATTATAGATAAATAGAGGGGGGGGAGGGGGGAGAGGGGGAGCAGATTTCAAGGAATTGTCCGCCATAATAATGTTTTGTATCATTCTGCCAATTCCAATGCTGTTCGAGCAGAATCTTTCCAATTAATTATCTAGCATTATCCGCCAAGGCCCACCCCTTTCTCTCCCTCACAATTCCCTTCCATAACTTGCCTCGCCATTGTCAGCGCCTTGATACGTAATTGGTCCGCTTTCTGTACCGCTGTCCTCCGAACTCAGGTGCAATGGATGGGCCATGTGGTACTTGCCAGCCGCTAGGTTCACCGTGGCGCCCGCCCATTGCGACGCGTTGGTCAGCTGCCGCTTGTGAAAACGGATCGCATCGCGCGCCTGCGCCAGGGTGCGGAACGGCTTCTCCGCCGTGCCCGGGTTGGCGTCGTCACCAGTAGGCGAGACGAACAGCGCTAGCGCGTCCTCCGGAGTCCGTGGCGACGGGTCGGACGAAGCATGTGCCCCAGCAGCGGGCAGGCTGTGCGAACAGTTGCTGGCGAAGTTCAAGCCGCGCTCCAGAGCGGCCACGTTCTTGGTGATGCGTCTCGCACCGTAGGCCAACGCTGCCTTCTTCACTTCGCACTCCAAATCGGAAATTTCTTGCGCGCGCGCCAAGGAGAAGACAAGACAACCTAAGAAGAGGGCCAAAGCCATGATCCTCACCGTCAACGGCGTCATGTTTAGACCCCCTTGGTGGGCCTAGGAACAGGATCGTTATCTGCTGGCAATGGACCACCAAGTCCAAGGTCAAGCACGCCAAGGTTTTGTTTTACCAGCCAGGGACGGAAGGGTCGATCTGGGGGTGCGGGGACAGATACAGGTAGTCTGTACTGTCCGTAGGCAAACACAAGGCTTTGAAGGTTCGACTCTGCCTCGACAAGAACAAAAGTTTGAGTGAGGAGACGCGAAGAGCCACCTACTACTAATACTATGACCTACGAAAAGTTACACACGGACTCTGTTGTGACAGTTGTCATGGCTATTCACCCAGCCAGTCGGATCGTAGTGAGTCCACGATGCGCTTTCACGAACAGACGACTCTGTATGATTCAACTACCGGCTACTGTTAAAACTGGAGTTTGGGTACTTGTGTATCTACTGAAAAAGGATGAGCTACTTCTGGACAGGCGACAAGCCTCTGGGTCATCCTAATAAAGATATTATTATTATTATTATTATTATTTGAAACTCGGATGTTGAGCCATAAATAAATGTGGAAGAGAAAAAGACATATGGATACGAGTTAAGAGTAACTCTCCATCACTGACTGTATATAGTATCATGTTACAGTGATGGAGAGTTACTCTTAACTCGTATCCATATGTCTTTTTCTCTTCCACATTATTATTATTATTATTATTATTATAATTCCAGCAGAAATCCAAGAGAGCTCGATACCGGGAAGGTAGAGCCGTGACACACTAGTCAGAACAACAGATGGCTTGATCAGTCACAACTTAAAGTTTCATGCCATCTCAGGCACTCATCAGGTGATATCACCTGATGAGTGCCTGAGTTCATATATATTATGGCATATTGAGCGACAAATGGCTTAGGCGTAATAATTATGGAATCTCCATATCCACACCGTATCCGGCACATACGGTGCACAGATACCGTACCATAATTTATTATAGAGTGCTGGCCGAGACAGTCAAATCAATGGTCACAGGGCTTATCCGTGCAGTTTGACAGGCCAGCCGGTGCCCGGCTGTCCAGAAGTAGCTCATCCTTTTTCAATAGATACACAAGTACCTAAACTCCAGTTTTACCATTATTACTTTCATGACTACAAGAATCAAGACTTTATAATTCAAAGTGACTAATACTAAAATATAGTAATAGTAATAGAGTGCATAACCAGGCAGGTTATCATTATGAATATTACGTTCTTATCCCTTGGGGGTTTACCATGGCTTATTACCGCAGTACCGGCGGTACGAGCCGACCCTACTTGTACTATACTATAGCCAGTGTAGGCTCCGTGGCCAAGGACTGCACAACAGTCATTGTAGCTAGATCGACTAAACTAGCTTGTAGTTGTAGTGACATGGGGTGTAGCATTCAGTTATAAGTGTTGGTAGATACTGTCTTGCTCTGTGACTGTGTGGTTTGACTGCTTTCCGATGATCCCCTCGCACGTGAAACTCGGAGTTACAACCTAATCTTCCTCCCCTCTTCTTCTGCTTGTACATGTAGATAAGCTGATCACAAAGAACACTGCGGAGTAGCCTTGACCATGTTGGCGGTCGATGGTCAGGTGTTCCACTCGGCCTCTCTGCATCGCTGAACCTCTGCGCATGATCCTCCTCCTCCTCCTCCTCCTCCTCCTCCTCCTCCTCCTCCTCCTCCTCTCTCTCTCTCTCTCTCTCTCTCTCTCTCTCTCTCTCTCTCTCTCTTTCTCTCTCTCTCTCTCTCTCTCTCTCTCTCTATCTCTCTCTCTCTCTCTCTCTCTCTCTCTCTTTCTCTCCTCCTCCTCCTTCCCTGGTCCACGCCCGATATCCCAGATCTGCGCTGCGCACAATCTGAATCCACTCCCCCGCTTCCGACTCATGCGTAGCGGCTCAAGTTCTAGGCATTGGCGGATAATGCTCGAAAAGGTGGCAGATTCTGCTCGAGAAGCAGTCAAATTGGCAGAACCATACAAACCTCATGGCTTGCAATTCCTCGAATTCTGCTCCGTTTCTTTATCCACATACCAAACATGCATGAAACTTACCAGAAAAAGTACCGAATTCTGCCAATTTTTCTGCCGGCAGAATCCGACTCACGCCTAGCGGCTCAACCCTTGGCGGATCATGCTCGAAAAATTCAAATTGGCAAGTGAAATTGGCAAGTGAAATTGGCAAACCATACAAACCGCATGCACCAATTCATATGACCGATTGGTTATGGCAAGCACTTCCTTGAATCCTGCTCCATTTCTTTGTATACACACCAACATGCATACTGGTAAAAATTTTACCAGTATGCATATTTAATAGTGAAAAGGTACTAAACATTTCCTCCGGCATTATTTCTTTTGCCAAGGCCTATCCAGTATCCACGCCCGATCCCCAGGATCTGTGCACGATCTGCTCTCACTCACAACCTTATAAAAAATATAATCCTCCCGATCCCTGCTGGGCCCCAGATTATCCGTCCGATTCCCCCCGATTTTCCCTACTATCCCGGATGGCGATATGCATCCTGACTCATGTCTAGTCTCTCTACTGCAAAAAGAATTATGTGTGTATGCGTCACCTGGTCACATCAACTAACTGATAGCAAGAGTACATAAACTACTCTTGCTGATACAGTAGTCATAGCTAGGGTCCAGCGGATAATGCTCCGAAAATGGTTGTATAATGCAAACCATAATGCTCCAAAAAACTGCCTTATAATGCTGATTATTGCTTCAGCAAGGGATATAATGCCAGTGTCTGCTCTAGGATTGTAGGACCGTGAGCCGGGTACACGAGTACCTGGCGCAACCATTTCAACTGGGTCGGAGCTGGGTACACATGTACATACCTGGCGCTGTCTCACCAGCCGAGTCACATGCTTTAACTGGTTGGTTGGTTTATTCTAATTCGGACAATAGACGGGAACTAGGCCCAATAATATAAAGGCGAATGGATAAGCCGCATTTAGAAAAGAGAGGACAGGAATTAGAAAATTACGAAAGAAGAAGAAGTATCTGACACATACAAGCCATGTAGTCAGTCCTGTCAAAGTTCGACAGTACCAACAGGGTCACAGGTGACCCGGTATTATATTTTCAACCGGGTCCAAGCGCCGCCCAACCGGGTGGATTACCCGGCTCACCCGGCGCTGGAGCAGACACTGAATGCTCTTGGTTTGGGACAAAAATGGAAGAACGTCTGCACATTGTCAAACTTCCAGGAAATTATGCATATCGTCGATCTGCATCTGAAGCTGCCACCTTATCTCTCACGAGCTCCGCCACTTCCGAAGTTAGCACTATAAGACATGATCGCTTCTCCATTGATTGCTCTCCATTCCAACTTTGATGCAGGGTTGTGGCAGAATAGTCGGTGTATCAAATCCTTCCCCCAATTATCCATGTAGTGAGAGATGAAACCATTATTGCAGGTAGTCATTCATTGTTAGGGTGAAGTTAATCTTGGCAAATAGTATTCCTGCCTGCAGACAAGCTGTCATTGCGTCAACTCTGTGAATAATGTCTTCATCTGAAACACCAGACGTGAGGCCAGCTCCTGAGATCCGATCTCAGATGGAGAGCCCTCCCATTTGCGGAAATCCTGAAAACACGTGGTCAGAAGTTATTTTGACACTCTACATCCTTTGCTTGTGCTCTCATCTTCTCCTTGAGATGGTGTGTAGACGTATGGCTTGCCTCTTCCTTTGTGATAGCATTTGACTGTAGGCCTGGCATTATTACCGTCCACAACTAACTGTACGTGCTTCATCAGGAAAGTAAGACAGGCGCTGTTCTGTCGCGCACACACATTGGTGCAGAAGACTGTATCATTGTTCACAAGACTGTTGTTATTCTTCAAGACTGAGTAGCACCGACTCTTCTTGTTCCAAGTACTACTAAAGAAAAACTCTCTCAATGCATTACAGCGCAGCCAAACAAAAGGTACCGCAAAAACCTTATGCCGCACGCACAAGTCAAGAACACAACAACCAAAAAAGCTACACGGTGCAAAGCTGGCTCAGCGAAACTGACTCGAGCGGAACCTAAATCGGAGCTCGCCGCCCAAATACAATATTACATGAGGCATCGAGGTGCAACCAAGCTGAGCGCATACATGCGATACTACCAAGAGCTAAGGTCAACACAGAGAACAGGCAGTATGACCGCAATGGCCTCGATCACAGCTAGAGGACGAGAAAGCAGACCGCAACTGAACATCTCCCCCTTCACTCACGAATGGTGAGTACGAGGTAACCGCAGTAATGTGCTATGAAGCGAGCAAACTAGAACCTACAGGTATTGATCAGAACCGTCTCGAACAAACTAAGAGAAATAGATAGAGAAAAACGAAACACTGAGACAAGTGTCACACTCATGCAGTTTACATAGCTATTGCAAACATTGCTCGAGAGTCACACTGCGATACTTAGCTGAGATAGCGTTACCGGCCGATGTCACCAGGCTGCTCAATTATCTGCCATATCGAGGATTGGAATGAGCCGGTGAATGGATCGGCGGTAGGTCTTGCCACGCATGCAGACGTCAACTACTCTGACGCAGCCATCAGGGCCGGGGAACGTGTTGCACACTCTGCCCATGGGCCACTTGCCGCGCGGCGTGTCAGGCTCCATGCATAGTACGACGTCTCCAACTTCCACATTCTTCTGCGTCCGGCGCCACTTCTTGCGAGCGTTGAGCAATGGCACGAACTCCGTGAGCCACCGTGTCCACACTTCCTTCAGGAGCTGTTGAACTAAGACGTAGCGCTCTCGGGGGTGTACCCGGTCCCTTGCATCTGCGGCAAGCTCAATAGGCAGTGGAGGGCTGCATTGTCCAGCAAGGAAATGCTGTGGTGTGAGGGCTTCCGGATCCTCGGGGTCTGCAGACAGTGGCATCAGCGGGCGGGAGTTATTAGCTCTTCGGCAATGACAAACGCCGTGTGCAGCTCCTCATCGGTGATGTCGGCTTTGGCAAGAGTCGAGTATAGGGCTCTCTTTGCGGCCTTGATCATTACTTCGAATGCACCACCAAAGTGTGGCGCGCGAGGAGGGTTGAACCGCCATCTCACTCGGTTGTCCGCCAGGCTTCGGGCAATCTCTCGGCGGTCAAGCTGCTCAACTGCCTCTCGCAACTCACGGGCTGCTGCTGAGAAATTCGTACCGTTGTCTGTCACTATCTGCTGGGGCGTGCCCCGCCGCTTGGTGAACCGGGTCAGAGCCAAGAGGAAACCATCGGTA